TATATATATATATATATATATATATATATACATATATATATACATATATATGTATATATATATACATATATATATATATATATATATACACACAGACAAAGTATACATAATTCTAATTTCATTTATACAGCAAGCTCATGTATTGCAGTGTAATTTATAAAATCCTTTCATTATAGCATTTCCATTACAGCACAAATGTGACAACTGTAAAATATATACCACATGCTAAACCAGATACAAAAATGAAATGTATGTTCATTTTTAAATAAATTAAGTCCCTTATTTGCCCCACAACAGGGAAAATCACAGTGAAAGACTTGAATTTCTTTCCCTTTGGCCATCGAATCCGGGACCGTCTGCCTGTAAGGCAAATGTGTAAGACATGCGTACTACCTGCTACACCTTGCAGTGCACTACATTTAGAATTGAAATGGTTCAGACTTCATTCTGGTATCAGAATTGAATGAGGAAGGTAAATGGATATTACTGGATTGAATGAAGTAAAGTTGGAAAAATGAAGTATTTTGAACGTTTTGAAAACGTCAAATGAAAGTCTTAAGTGAAAATGACATAAATACATAAATGTAACGTTATTGAAGTAGTGCCATTTTAAAATGTTTATTTTAGTAGCCTTTTTGCTTTTAAAATGTTTATTTTAGTAGCCTTTTGTTAAAGTTTGCACACAAGGAGTCGCATTAAATCAACAGTTTTCGCCAACAAAATCGGAAAAACATACGTAATACGTAAAAAAAATAGTAACCGTGGAATAAAACATTACGTGAGAAACATCCTTTACAATAGGTTCCGGTTCGTTTGTAGCCGCAGAGTTTAAACAGTAAAAACCGTGTTCTCTATACAGCGTTAAAATGTCTGATAAACACATAGTAATGTGACGTTCTGCTGTATTTGTCATTACACTGAGAATTTTGCAGCTCACTGACATTTTTGAAGTCGTTCGATAGGAAAAAAACGTTGAGCTCGCCGGCGAACAGAATGTTTTGACGCGTGTGTCGTCATCGCCCGAGATTCACTAAACCCGCACTGCAACATTTAAAAAAAACGGTCTACTTATGCAGCAGTTTATTAACACCTAAATGAAATTTACCCTGCTTTGAGAGGTCGTTGATGACTCCCATTCTATTCGTCTCTTTTGCAGCCATGCTGGCGTGATTTAATAGGTAACCAAAGTTCAACAGGAAGTGCTCGACACACCTGCAGTTCATTCAGTCAGGTTAGGGCAGTGACATCTACTGTATAACTCTGTGTCCTACTTAGTACAGGACACAGGCGTCATTTTGATTTAAATGTGGCACAAGTCATTATCATTTATACGTTTGGGTAAAAAATACTACAATATTTTTTATGGATATCAAATAAAATCTAAACGAGCAGATGTTATGTATGTATCTGTGTTTATAAGGTGTTTATATGTTTAGGTGGGAAAAAACGCTATAATAAATAATGACTGCTAAAATAAATTGTATGTATATATATATATATATATATATATACATGTATATGTATATATATATATATATATGTATGTATGTATATATATATATAATGTATAATGTATATATAATGTCTATATATATAATGTATATACTATTAATTAATTTAATTAAAATTTCCCATCCAAACGTAAAATACATAGAAATAAACAAATATATTGATTATATATATTGATACATATTGATAAAATATTAATAATTATTCTTATACAAATGGATAAAATAACCAAGCGAGGGACAGTGATCTAGACGGGGCGGCAGAGTGTCGTCGCCACTAAGCGTAGGAGAAGGACTGAGTGTGGGGACTCGATTTAGATGATAGAAAGAGAGAAAGAGAAAGAGAAAGAAAGAGAGAGAGAGAGCTAGTAACTTTTGCTTATTCATAACTTGAAAAACTTGTATTTCGGGGTAGCTTGTGTCTTGAAGTGCCACTGTGTGTGTATTTCTACATATATTTCTATATATAGATGCACACACACATTTTCTAGCTATTTTTAGCTAATATTTAGAATAGAAAGTTACAATAAAGTAATTGTAATCATGACATTTCCCAAAGGTATGACCTCAACGATTCAACTCTATACCTACTTAATGCCAACTTGTTAGGACCCTTAACTTTTGAGCATCAAAGCCTGTGAGGCTATGATGTCCACACAATATATTCCTTTTATGTTTGATTACAAAGTAATTATGATCATTCTTGAAGAAGAATTGGAATAAGGTGAAGGGATGCATTAACATAAAGAGTTAAATGAAAGACATAATTCAACGATATGGGTGGTGACTGCTGTATAACTCTAAGAACAACCTAACACAAAAAGCAAGAGGCGAAAAAGTCGAAGAAAACGGGTCAAATGTTGTGGCGCTGCATATACCAAATGATAAAAACAACATACAGAAACATAGAATAAGAATAAGTTAAACAAGTTAATGTCATCCGGAAAGAACTTTACATAGAGAAGATGACTAACGTAAGGAAGGTCAGAGATGGGGATACTAAAAACTGTACAAAAATTATGGATAACCTGGAAAATGGTTTTACCCAATTCCAGATGGAACTCCAGCAGGCACTGCAAAATAATGTCTGGCAGGCTGGAAAAATCAGCAAGCTTAGTGCAGATCTAGAAGTGGAGACCAGAGAGAAGAAGTCTCTCTCGAAACAGGTAAAAGAACTAAAAGCCATACTGGAAGTGAAGATCACTAAAAAACTGTCCTTGTCTGAACAGATCAAGGAACTGAAAACCAAACTAAAGGCGGAAAGTGAAGAAAAGCAGTCTTTGTCCATTCAGATTGTTGATCTCAGAACCAAATTGAAGGTGGAGACGGGAGAGAAGTGGTCTCTGTATGACCAAGTTCAGTATCTTAAAGAAAAGTTAGAAGTTGAGAATGAGGAAAAACAATCTCTTTCAGACAATGTAAAGGATCTCAAAGCCAAGTTGGAGGTGGAGACCAAAGAAAAGCAGTCTCTGTCTGACAAGATTGAGGAGCTTACAGTCAGGCTAAAGGTGGAGAGTAGGGAGAAAAAGTCTCTGTCAGAAGAGATTAGGGATCTTAAAGCCAAACTGCAAGTGGAGACCAAGGAAAAGCAGACTCTGTTAGATCAGGCTGAGGATCTGAAAACCAAGCTGAAAGTGGAAACTGAAGAGAAGCAGTCTCTCGCTGACCTGGTAGAAGTTCTTAAAGCCAACCTTGCCGTGGAGCAGTCTTTGTCTGACCAGGCCGAGTGTGTGGAAGGCAAACTGGAAGTGGAGACCAGGAAGAACGTCTCTCTGTCAGAACAGGCTGAAGATCTTAAGGTCAAGCTGAAGCAGGAGAGTGACGCAAAGCAGTCTTTGTTGGATCGTGTTGAGGAACTTCAGGCCATGCTTGCAGTAGAGACTGGGGAGAAATGGTCTCTGTATGACCAGGTTGAGTATTTTAAAGAACAGTTTCAGGTGGAGACCGGGGAAAAGCAGTCGCTGTCTCACCTGGTTGAAGCTGTTAGAGCGAAGCTGGAGGTGGAAACCAGGGAAAAACAGCATCTTTCTGAACAAGCAGAGGATCTCAGGGAAAAACTTGAGGTTGAGACAAAAGAAAAGACATCTCTGTCAGAGAAGGTCGATGAGCTTAAAGCCATGCTGGATGTAAAAATTAAGATTGTCGACAAACTTGAAAAAGGTTTCGCACAGTTTTATGCTGAACTCCAGCAGGCTTTGCAAGACAATGCCTGGCAGGCTGGAAAGATTAGCAAGCTTACTTCAAAGCTGGAGTGTGAAACCAGGGAAAAGCAGAGTCTGTCAGAGCAGGTTGAGGCTCTTAAGGTTAAGTTTAAGTCCGAGCAGTTTCTCTCTGAACAGGTGGATGACCTTAAAGCCAGGGTGGAGGTAGAGAGTAGAAAGAAGCAGTCTCTGACAGACCATGTCGAAGATCTACAAGCCAAGCTAGAGTTGGAGATCAGCGGGAAACAGCTTTTGCTAGAACAGGTGGACGATCTAAAAGCTAAGCTAGAGGCGGAGACCAAGATTGTCGATAACATGGAAAATGGTTTTGCACATTTACAGGCGGAACTCCAGCAGGCGCTGCAAGACAATGCTCTGCAGGCGGTAAATATTGGCAAAATCACAGCGAAGCTGCACGAACAGGTTGGGGACCTTAAAACCAAACTGGAGACGGAGCAATCGTTGTCTGACCAGATTCAGAACCTCAAAACCAGGTTGGAATTTGAGACCGGTGAGAAGCAGGCCCTGCTGAAACAGATTGAGGCTCTTAAGTCCAACCCAGACGTGGGGCACTCTGTGGCGTACAACGTAAAGGATCTTAAAGCCAAGACGGAGGTTGACAATCAAGAGGAGCAGTATCTGTCCAAGGAAATGAGAAAATTGTAAACAAGCTGAAATTGAAGAGAAGCAACGAGAAGCAGTCGACATCTGTACGCCTTGCTAGACATAATATTGTCTCTTTGTGACCAAGTGGAGAACCTTAGAACTAATCTGGAGAGCAGTTTTTTGCTAGGATTGCTGTGGTGAAGAGGTTTCGACCACAGCTTGACGTAATGGGGCATGATGATGCCCCCACTTCCTGTTTTTTACCAATATCCTTTCTTCTATCCTTGGCAGAGTCAGGATTGCTGTGGTGAAGAGGTTTCGACCTCAGCTTGCCGTAATGGGGCATGATGATGCCCCTACTCCCCGTTTTTTTTTTACCAATATCCTTTCTTCTATCTTTGGCAGGGTCTGATGGAATATTCTACTTTGAGAGTTTTTGTTTTTTTTGTGCTATCAAGTTATGAAGTGTCTACATTGCTCAAAATTACTATGGTATTACTCTAAATTACTTATGATTTTGACAACTATAGCATATTATGATATTAGCATGTTATGAAGTACAGTAAGTGTGTCATACCTAACCAAAAGAAATGATATGAGCCTCACAATAACCTATAAATAGGCCTTGGCCATACTATAAATCATCATTAGCCAATATCCTCTTTCTGACACAAGCAGCATCATGAGAAATGTTGGCTAAATATATCTTTTTATGTTGTTTTTTTGCTTTTTTTGGCTGTTAGCTTGTTTGATATCATTGTAGAATATGTGAATTTGTGCATGTCATTTGTACGTCAAGAAGTTTGACTGAAGTCCTGTTCAAAGCTAATCCAAAAACATGAAAAATAAATTTGACAATAACTGCAACTGTGGCATTCCCTTGTATTTTGCGTGGTCCTGAAATGAATTTATCAATAGGTTTAAAATCGCTTCGAGTTACAGTCGAGTTTTACAACACATTTTACAGAGTTCTTGGTCCATGTTGTACAACAGTGTTTCCCAAACATTTTTTTTCTAGGGACCCATATTTTAAAAGTCACAAACCTTCACGACCCAAGTCAATAGACATCCTGGGAAACATGATACGAGAAGACCGCCCCCAAAAAAATGTCTTCGGGAGACAATGTTGTACAAGACCACAAATGGGTTCGTCTTCGGGAGACAATGTTGTACAAGACTTAAAAGAACCACAATTGGGTTTACACTCTTCATAATCAGAAACTACCACTTCTACAAATTTGCTTTGTCATTGTGTTTATAGTGTCTCCTATATCACTGCTTCCAAACCAATGAGAGAAGTCACCTGGTGTGTTGTCCAAAATATATAAATCGCCTTGATTTGGTCTGAAAACTATTTAAAGAAAAGAATTTGTTACATCGTCCCCGACTCTCCTGGAGGAACGTGATCGTGTGAGGTGATGACTCTGATAGAACTTGTACATGAATCATTCTATAACTAACAAGTATTTAATAAATATGGACCAACTCTTTGGGAAAAAAAATGGAACAGTGACAGGCAGAACAATGACTATTCCACTGGGTGGTGGCAGATGGCTATTAAAACTAAAAAAGAAGACTTTGATCAGTTGAAGTTCTTCCTGTGGTCTTTCTTCAATCCCTGCTAGTATATCCATTGTGTACTCAACTAAACAGGCTCAGGCTTTACACTGAGTAAATACATTTCAAATTAATAAAAAACTTGATTACAATAAGATTCCCATACTGCTATGGGCCTATAAATACATGCATAAAATCTTACTTGTAGAAAATATATATTATTTTCTTGTGTCATCAAAGTGTCATCAGGGGAATTAAGGCTTTGATATTTCAAAGGTTCCTCATGACTTGGAAACCTAAAAGCTTTGGAAATCACATGTGGAAGCTTAAGGTCCATGGGAGGAAATGCTTTAAGAATAATGAATGAATGAATGAAAAAATAAATGCAATGTTATACATTACATGTCCCCTGCACCAGAGGTTAAACGACTTCTAACAAGAACAAAAACAAGTCAAGGTATATATCCTACAAAGTAGGAACCTAGAAAGGGAGGGAAAGGGACAGCTATGTCACATCGCAACTGAACTTATTGAACCAGCCGTGATTCAAATTTGAATTTTGTTTTTAACAGGAGACTAATAAAAGAACCATGAGCAACAGAAAAATAAATATTCATGGTGATTCCAAGACATGTACTAAGATTATGGACAATCTAGAGAATGGGTTTGCGCTTTTTCAGGAGGAACTTCAGCAGGCACTGCAAGATAACGCCTGGCAGGCTGGGAAAATCAATAAGCTCTCTGCTGACCTGGCGCTAGAGACAAGAGAGAAGTATTCTCTGTCAGAACAAGTCGACAATCTTAAAGCCAAGCTGGATGTAGAAACAAGCGAGAAGGAGTCTCTGTCAGACCAGGTTGAGGATCTTCAAGCCAAGCTGAAGTCAGAATCTGGAGAGAAATGGTCTCTGTACGACCAGGTCGAATATCTTAAAGAACAGCTCGAGGTGGAGATTGAAGAAAAGCAGTCAGTGTCAGATGAGATTGAGGATCTAAAAACAAAACTGAAGGTAACGAACGAAGAAAAGCAGACGCTTTACTCCGAGGTCCAAGATCTTAAAGTTAAACTAGAAGAGGAGACAAAAGAAAAACTCTCTCTGTCACGCGAGTGTGAGGAACTCCAGGCCAAACTCGAAATTGAAACTAAAGAAAAGCAGTCCATGTTGGCGGAACTTGAGGACCTGAAAAGCACGCTCAAATCCGCAGCTGAAGAAAAGCACTCCCTGTCGGAGCGAGTTGAGGATCTGAAGGCCAAGTTGAACGTGGAGACAAAAGACAAGCAGTCTCTGCTAGATGAGGTTAAGGACCTTAAATCGATGCTAAAGATGAAGGTGAGAGAGAAGCAGTCTCTGTTGGATGACGTCGAGGATCTGAAAGCCAAGCTGGAGGTGGAGACCAGAGAGAAGCAGTTGCTAACAGATGTGGTTGAGGATCTCAAAGCCAGCAATTTAAAATTCAAAGACGAGCTGGATGAGCAGCAACTGGACCATGCACTGCGGTGCCACATGCTCCACACAGAACTGGTGGACTTGAAAAGAGACAATTTCGTGCTCAATCAAGAGTTGAAAAAGGAGAAGGACAAACATGCGCACATTCAAGCTGAGGCCTCTAGGCTGTCCACCAAGCTTAAGGCTGAGACTAAAAAGAACGAGTCTCTGTCAAAAGAAAAAGAGTGTCTTATAACCAAGCTACAGAAGGAGCAACTGTGGAGACTGCAGTTGAGTGAGGACTTGCAGAAATATGAAGGCACCCTCCATCCGACCTTTCACGCAGAAAACACTGTCCCAGAGACAAAGGCCGCCTATCAGATGTTGGAGGAACTGCAGCGCGAGGTTGCCAGCCTCTCCATCAGACTTAAAAACGAGGTAAACGAAAACAGGGGCCTCTACAAATGGAGAGACTACGAGGTTCATGAGCTGCGGCCGGAGCAAAACTTGAACCTCTTGAACCTAAATAACCCCAGTTGTGCGCATCAGCTGCAGACGAAGTCGCCCACGCAGTCAAGCGGAGAGAAAACAAACCTCAGTCACAAAGTGGAGCACCTCAAGGCGGCCAACGATAAGCTCGCCACGAAACTGCAGATAGAGGAGCAGCTCAGTTATAACTTCCACGTGTTAACCGACAGGCTCTCTGCCAGCCTGGAGACAGAGACTAAAAAGAACAAGTCTCTTACTGCTGAACTACATAAAGAGCTGACTTGGAGGCAGCAGCTGAGTGACAGCTTCCAGAAGGAAAAAGATACTCTTCAGCAGCAACTTCAGGCTCTCCATCAGAAGCTGAAGAACCAAAACATAGCACAAAGTGATAACCTGCCAAGTGAAGAGCCAGAAGCCCTGGAGCATGTGGAGTCAGAGGTCTGTGTCGAAAGACTACCCGAGAAGAAGAAAAGGACACCTGTTAACCAGTTCTTTGGCTGGCGCAAAAAGAACAAGGTTAGAAAAGCAGGTGAGGAGGAATGCAGTTCCAACTAAGACTTCTGCATTTCACTGACAATTCTCAGCCTAAACAAGCCCTCACACCAAATTTAGTTTATTTTCTTGTGATATGAAAAGTTCCATTAGTTGACACTTAAAAATACTGTACGAAGCAACTAAGGTATAGTTAAAAAAAAAAAAAATCACATCATAGTAACTAATAAACAGAAAATGACTTTTGGTAAACACATCTTACTCGGAACCTGATATGTACTTTTTTTTTTTTTTTTATCAATACAACCAGTTGCTGCCACCTAGCTACTGGAGGCTTGTTTATCGTTCAAGCATTACGGCAACGGCGCACTTCTGTGCAGCTTGCGAGCGCTCTCTAGTGGTACGTTGAGAAAATTCAAAGCGGGGAAAATTCATATTTTCACATTAATACAACATTAAAACATAAACATCTTTATTAACATTTATAAACATCTCTCCTGTGTGGTGGAAGCTAATAGGGAAGGCCTGTGCTGCTATATTCCGATGTTGGTCATCATGGTGGTACTCAGAGAGAGCTCAATGTTTTCTCAGGTGGTACAGAGTATAAAAACTTTGAGAACCACTGCCATATACCATTGAAAGCCTCTTAGCACAACCACACTATCTGAGAAGTACTGGATGACACTAAGGTTAGCAGCAGACAAATTAGCGTATTTTTCCGACTGTAACGCTCGGGAGTATAACTCGCACCGGCCAGCTAGAGTGCCCTCTAGCAGCTGTCTGTGTTAAAATAACAAAGATGTCAATTTTCAGCGGTACAGGAGTAGCAGATACTGGTACACAAGCCTAGAGTGCCCTCTAGCGGCTGTCTGAAAATAAAAAAAAAACGTGAAATTATATGCGACTTATATTCCGAACAATACAGTAGTAGTGTCTCAAACCTACTCGATGTATGCTAGCACAAGTGCAAACATGATACAAGATGTCAACCAACAATCAGCACTGGGCTTGATTGTTGGCCTGATGCCTTTTAAAGTTGTACCATCAATCCATCCATCCATCCATCATCAACCGCTTATCCAGGGCCGGGTCGTGGGGGCAACAGTCTGAGCAGGGACACCCAGACTTCATTCTCCCCTGACACTTCCTCCAGCTCTTCTGGGGGGGCCCCAAGGCGCTCCCTAGGTCTTCTGGGAGGAGACCTAGAAGTTGTACCACCCATTGAAAACTACCAAAAGTAAAAAGTGACAGGGTTTAAGACCCTCTTCTTCAACAAAATGTCGGGGGTGAGGTCAGAGTTGTTGTTCTCTTACCTCACCTCTTCTTACAAATGGCAACTCTGTTTGCTTTTCAACTGGGTGTTTCTTGTCGTTTGGTTCTGTTATGCTCAGTCTAACGCTAAGTGTTAAAGTGAAAACTGACATTTGTCAAATTGGAACAGTGCCTTCTTTCCAAGCAGCGAACACTAAATACATTTTCAAATAATTTATTTTATTTGTGGACACATACACTCACAACATCCTGATACACAATAAAACTAGTTTTTCCAACACATGGGAATGTACGCTCATACTTCTAGGGTGACCCAAAACAAAAAACAAAAAAAAACAAAAAAACAACCACAACACATAATAGGGTTAACATCTTTTGAATTGTTTTAAGACATTAGGATACGATAAAGTACCAGAGGAGCAACACGGAGTAAACGTTTCATCTTTTTGATAACTCAAAATGTCTTGAACCGAGACCTAAAAATATGCAACTGTAAATGGTTCAATACAAGAGGTTGACGAACAGAATTACTAATTGTGCTGTAGCATCACCACCTAAATGGTGGCGACTCCAGATATTCGACGGTTGTTTAAATTTATTCACTTCCATTTGTAGACAAACAGTTCTGTTCACCTCATTTTTGGAAGGGCTGATGTTTCGTAGCACATGTTGATAAAATGAGATCCACCCTAAATAAATATATTCTGTTCAACCATTTAAGAGATATTTTCACTTTTTGCCATCAAGGATATACAATTTTCATACACAGAATATTGTCACAAATACAATGCAGTACATCTAAAGAAGGGGTTTATAGATACTTTGCTCTATTCAGGGAAATGGAGAAGGGTGGTAGATCCATAGGAAGGAAGGAGAAGAATCTGAGGTAATGCAAATGAGGAAAAGCTGTTTTTTTTTAGAGGGGTGTGGAAAGGTAACATGATTTACCAAGCCCCTAGAGCAGGGGTGTCAAACATACGGCCCTCGCGTTGAATCAGGCCCGCTCGATGAATTTTGAAAAAGGGAAAAAAAAAAAAAAAAAAATACACAAACACTTCATGTTCAGGAAATGTTTCATAAAATTATATTTCATTAAATATAAAGATGTATCTAATGTACTTTTTCCATGTAAACAAAGCCAAAAAAAAACCACTGGACATCTAATTAGGTTGTATGTGGCCCCTGAACCAAAATGAGTTTGACACCGCTGCTCTAGAGAGAAGGAAAGGATAGAACAGTGGGTTGAAAGATGAGTGGAGATACCAAGACGTCTTGGTGAGCCTCAGTGGCGGACAGCAGATTCCCTGGGGTAAAACTCGGCCAGTGTGCTCTGAGGAATTCGCTTTAGCATCTCCTTGGGGAAGATTCTCAGCAGCTGCCAGCCGATGTCCAAGGTTTCGTACACCGTCCTATTGTCATAGGGGCCTGTGCAGGAGAGAGGAAATACATGAGAATCTAATTCTAAATACAGTAGGAGGGGAAAGCTGCTGCCAACTACTGCATGGGTCGTCTACAGAAGACTGTTTTTATGCGGTTTATAAATAAGTCTTTCACTCATTGAGATGACTACGATGTCTGTCCTTGTGAATACAACACAATACAAGTTGAGTGGCACAGTAGAGAAGGAACCAAAGTCCTCATAAATAAATAAACATCCATCCATCCATCCATCC